TTGCCTCTTCTGGAAAACCTTGTCGGGCTTAGAAGTGCACACATAATGGTTGTCCAAAGTGAACTGAACTGAATCGATCACGACAAAGGGAAATGACCGTATTTAGTAGTGGGCCACAGTCGCCACGTCACAGCACTGCTCACAGATATTTGTGGTTTTTTTGCGGGGAACCCTTTTCAGGAGGTAAACTCACCACATCCTCGAGCGCTGCCACTGATCGTACTCGACCGCGTATTCGGAGGGCCGAAGCCCTCCCTATTTATGGCTGCCTGCTATCTGGGGACGCGCTCGGTAGCATACAGCTCCGCTCTCCCGAGTCAATACAGTTCGATTGCTCCATCGTTTTCGATCATCTCGTCCCTCTCACCCGTGACCTTAAACAAGTAAATTCCCCCTGACCCTTTCTGTGATCTGATTGGATCATATTCTGCGATCTGCGGCGCTTAAAATCTCTCACCCGAACACGAGGCTGTTTGATTACCGGCTTGTACGTTTTGTAATGCTCTTGTTACGGCCAGTCCATCCGAGTGCTGATGGCTCTCCTGCTACACAGTCAAAGTTCACTGGGCCTGCCTGAGACCCACAGCTGTAAAAAAAGATGTGGTTTATCGTTAGGGTCAGCTGGGCAAGCACCAGGTCCCTTGTTGCGGCTGTACCATCCGACTGATCGATAAACGAACCCGATCGGTCGTGTGGTTTTCGGGCCGGCACAGGAGGAGGATAGGTTACGAATCCGATGCAGCCTGTGTTGGTAGAGAATCAGTTGTGGAGCGGTACGCCATGTGGGAAATTCCGAATAAAAAATGCTTAAGCGATTATGGCACTGGGCCAACGCTTGACTCGTCTAAGATACCCACACTATTTTCCGAGGCGGGTTCGGTAAACAGATAATCACAATAAAACTTCGAACTTATCCCAATAGCGGACAACAATATCCCCTAATATAGGCCCACGCAAAACTAACCGATTGACTCGTATTCACGCACAATGCGGGTCAAAACAAGATGCACCACAAGGTGATCGTTTAAAGCATTCTCAGATATGCATGTTTAACAAAGGGAACTTTTAAATTCCTAATCACCGAAGTAACGCGGACTTCATCAAACTTCAGAAATATTTTGTACACTTCCGATTTCATTTTAGAATTTAGGATTTTAGGCAATTCACACCGACTGACACAGAAGATATTTTCATCTAAGTCAAAACCATTATTACCAGTAAATATATATTTCAACTGAAGACATACACTTTCAAACTTAATGCATGGTTTGTTCAAGTTAGTTACTCTCCCAATTTAAGCTCCTGGCACTGGACAAAGCTTATCATATCTTGGGTTCACTATCGCCTGGGATGACCAAATTCTACAAGTGTATGGATACTATGAACAATACAGTAAGGGGTGCGTAAGAGTTCAAATCAATCTGTAATTCTTTGTGCATTCGAGAACGCCACCCCAGTTGGCTTAGTCAAGGATCGACGAGAACCGGGGGTACGGCAATCACGACCCGCATTGTGCGTGAATACGAGTCAACCGGTTAGTTTTTTCGTAGGCCTACATTAGGGGATATTGTTATCTGTTATTATGATCTGTCCCCCTTGGATTTCTTTTCGTGGGTATATCTGAAGGGAACGGTTTATTCCCGAAAACCGGGAACTATCGAGGAACTTCAACAGAGCATTATGACGCAGTGCGAAAATATTCCAACTGCTACCTTTCTAATCGTTCCAGTTCTAAATCATCCTCCAGCGCTCCTTGTATTCGCCTTCCCTCCACAACTATGGTTCTTTCTCATGAGATGAATTGTCCGGCAGTCCCTGATTGGTCGTTCTTATATGGTGGGTGGGCTTCGCTTTACATCAGATAAATGAAATTACAGGTGTTATTTTGTCCTCTATTTACATCACCGATTTCGATGCTCACTCATACATATATGTGTAAATACACTGACAAGTGATCACACCAAATTTCTTATTTTCATTTCCAGGGTCGTTTGTCATGCTTAATCATTTCCTGCACGATACGACCAAGGAACCTCTGATAAAACCGGCGGATGAAGAGCTGCCAGCTCCCCTGCGTACGTTCCTCGGGGTTTCCCCCGAAAAACCTGCTGAACCGGCACAACAACCATCCTTAACTTCTGCTGACTTGGAAACACAAGGCCGACTGTCATCTTGGTTTAAACAAAGTGATGATGATCCTTTAATGCCCAAAAGTTTGTCTCGAAAACAACGGCTATTGGGATTTGTTATTTGTCTTCTGACAGCTTCGTTTTGTTTATGTTTGGCTATGGTATTCCTTCCACTCCTTACCACTCCTTTTGGAATGCGAAAGTACGTCTTACTGCACTCTTTGGGCAGTCTTCTTCTTATAGGAAGTTTTTCATTTCTATGGGGACCGTGGAATCACTTAAAGAGTTTATGCACTTTGGAAAAGTTGCCGTTCACAATCGGTTTCACATTGTCACTGTTCGGTGGCCTGTATGCCGTTTTGGCATGGCACAGTGCTGCATTTGCCGCACTCGCTTTAATTTCACAACTCAGCTTGATTTGCTGGCAAATCATCGTTAGCATACCTGGGGGGAGGACTGGATTGCAAGCTATGATTCGTGGCGGATACTGGACAATCAAAGGTGTCGCTCGTGGATTGCCAGTCTGATAAACTGTGGTTAACCCGTCACCGGTTACTCTGTGATCATGTTCCAATGTGAAGTTCTCTGTTCATGGTTCTTCGAAACCCATCTACCCACTCTCTTAATGCGTGATGTATTTTTTATATAGCGTTCATTCTCAACCAATTTTTTAGTGCTCCAAAGTAACGACTAAAATTATCTGACTAGTTTCTGCAGAAACCTTGACGGAAAATACTTGAACCAGCTCTATAACAAAAATTGTCACGCTAGGACTAAATATAAAGGTGGGGGAAATGCCTTTTGGTTATATGGTTTTCACTGAAGTTTTTTTTCAATCAAATAAAACCAAATAGGTGATCCAGAACCAGCGCACCGAAGTGCAAGGTTAATGATCGTGCAGGTTAAAATGAGTATAGGTTTCAGAATATAATGAAGAAAAAGATCGCAAATATTCAAGGAAAGAAAGTAATAATTATGACGGTTTCGCTTGCTTCCGTTTCTGGTTTGTGCGGCTCTCAATTTCTTATTATCACTCAAGAGCTTCTGTGCAAGGTTACTACTTCAAGCGGGCCAAAATATTTCAGTACATTTTAATCTAGTTAAACAGACGAAATCGTGGCCAACGAGGACAACATTTCTAATGTTACGCACACCTGCATGATAAACAGCACACAGAGTGGATCCCATAGTCACGAAGACCTGCTGTTCGGTGATGGAAACCGGTAGCCTAAGTCCCAGGACTTCGAGTGGCGAATCACATAAAGTCCCGTTGGTTCAGGGTGGTATTGAACCGAACGGCAGCAAAGCTGCCTACCACCGAAGTTGAGTGGCGGTGGCGGGGCTCGGACCATAGGGTCCAAAGCGCGCGGGTGACAGTGACCAGAGCACTGCACCACAACAACCTTAGTATATGCACAAAGAATATTATTTTCCAGTTAAATTCGTAAACTGAATACTTTTGTTCCCGGTTGTCTTTATGTAGTACTTTCACCATTTGCATGAATAGTAATTACAAAAGCCTACAGTACTGTTATGCCGACCAACAAATCAAATATAAAAACATGTAGTTACAAGCCACATAAAGCCTCGCGTAATAGTTCTTTTGATCCGGACAATGGAGTCCGGTTTTCGCACGCCGACAAGCTGCCTTGCGGGTCAGGCTTTGGCTAGCCGAAGGCTCCGGTTGTGGATTCCTCAAGAAAATTCACCTGCCTTGGCCGTATTCAGCCCTCATGCAAATCATGGAACGGTTTTCTTTTTTATAAAGATTATCCTACCATGATTTGTTTCGCACACAGTCTGGTGTCAGACCTGTGTGTATATTTATGCGATGAAAATGTTTGTCATAACCAACAAAGAGCACTGGACAGCTGTTTCATCCCGTTTGGGACTTGTCAGCAGTGCGTACTTTTTGTATCCCTGTCAGGACTCGAATTGCTATAAGTCGGGTAGGGGCTTCAAACTCTTACCTCTGAGCTACACGGTCGGCGGTTATCATTTTGTGCGAATGGCTCGATCAATTTAGAGTATCAAGCTTGGATTAGCCCATTCGATTGTTCAGAGGCACCGGGCACTTTTGATGGTCTTCGGTGTGGGTTTCGCTCCCTAGGAGATCGTTAATTCCCTACTGTTTTTATGCATTTAAATGCGATGGAAATGTTCTTCATAACCAACAAAAAGCCAGGCTCAGTCGCGTCGAGAAACGCCGTAACTCTGGGAGAACTCAGAGCCCGGCCATGAAATAAAGAATACACCTGTGGTACAGAGACATATTGGGTTCATTTTACTACAATTCCGACGTACTTTTGATGAGAATAAAGCTACACGTCGTGAAAAGATACGAGGAGAATGAGAAATGATGCATTCCGGATTAGAAGCCATTCAACGTGGCTCCATAATGAAGGAAAAAACCGTTGTGTGTAAAATCGTTGCCATTGTCATTGTAGGTAGAATGCAGTAAAACGGAGTATAATTTTCTGGTATTTAGATTTAGTCTTCTATTCAGATGAAATAGACAAGTGCAACTGGAGGTGAGTGGATCGTTGGACCTTCCTATGTTTGACCAAGTTGGTGAGTTGGTTGTCTTATGCAACACGATCAGCTTCGCGGCAGGATAAGTAGACTCAACTGAAGTACGGAGTCCATGGTCAATCCGCGCAACCACATCTTCTCTCGTGAATCAAAGGCTAATAAAAACGGGATTCTTTTCGGTCGTCGTATATTTTGGCTTGAGGATGAAAGGTGTCCCATATTTCTGTATAAATGAAAAGGGGCAGCCCCTAGTGAACAAATTATTGGTCAGTGAACATTTGCGGTGAATTGACATATGGAGTGTGCATAATCAGGGCAGTATTTACACTGCAAAGATTTTGTTCCATACGTAACCAATGGGATCGATATGAACCCTGTTCTACAGATTTCGTCATCTATGTAGTCCGTAAGTGCCAGAAACTGAGTTAGGATAATTAATCAGTTTATCTACTAATGACTACCCCTTATCTTTTATACAGCAACGCAGGACACCTGCAATATCCAACGACCGAAAATGTGGCAAATGTGCCATAAGCAAGTCTGCCAGGACTGGGTCTAGCGGGCTGATCGTAGCATCATCGATTTTCCTGCACGTATTTCCTTGAAAATGGAAGGACATTGGTAGTGCAGATCAGCAATAGACACTCAAGGACGGATACCGGTAGTTTCAGTCGAAGCTGTTTTTTCTCTATGCAATCACAAATTATTTTTGTGACCCTCAGAAAGTGGCATATTATTAAATCTGGATTGAACATAGAATGAAACGGTGTTTTCCTCCTACTTTGATCCTGTCCAAAACGTCGACTAACTAAAAGCTGTCCTTGACCGTTGGTGTATGGACTGGTTCTGAGATCTTAAACAGACATATTATTCCGTGGTAATTTCGTCATGCATAGGATTGGTCTGAGTGGCACATCTGGCGTGTGGAGTTCTGGTAGGTCACAATGTTGGGGAATGTGAGTTCCTCTCGTCTTCAGACCTCGGGTGGTATTTTCATCAATGAAGTGTCCCTCCAATAGAAACTGAACGTCAGACCATTTTCTGTTCCATCCCTTTGGGGTTATCACATCTTCTCGGTAAAAATCCTCGGGGTCATTAAGGATACGCTCTTTCTTTGGTAATCCGCATGGTTCTTCAGGAAGCACCTGTGTCAACAGGTAGGTAGAACACACTCATGCAGCTCACCGGGAAGCTAGGTGATCAGCCCGCGTTTCATTTTACCCTTACGTGATATAGCACAAGTCATCTTTGGAAGCACCATACCTTGCTCATCTCAGCCCTAGTTTCCAAGTTTATGACTCATTTAGAAACCTTCCTACCTGAGTACCTGATACACGAGAGTAGGGAGGGTTTTGTTCAATTGTACACTGAATTTTCGGATCTGCTAGGACCAAGTTTGGATTGTTGCTACTTTTTACGCTGGTCATCCTTAACGGACTGCTGCTGATTACACCATTCAGAAAACCGATTGATCCTACCAGACGAAGTTTCGGGGCTTGAATTCCCAAAAGATACGTTTTGTCGATATTTCGAATCTTCACGGAAGAGCCAAAACGATCACAAGCACACGATGCAGTGCTTTGGGCATCTTGTGCATTGACATTTTAAACCTTATTGCGTTAGAACGATATGTAGCCTTTGGAGTCCGAATCATATGATAAAGAAGTTCGTACTGTTCTCAGGTACGAAAAATATCGATGGTAAGTCGTTTTGAAAGCGATTGTCGGCTCATGAGTGGGTAAATCAACTCAAGTGAATCCATTAGAACACTTTCAATATGCATTTACCGAACTATTTTAAGTAATACCGTAGTTCTTACTGTCATCTCGATGAATGCGAGATAGTAACATTGTTTGACGGCGGTGGTCGAGTAGCAAGGGTGTTGAAATGACCACCTCGGGGTTCTGAAGTCAAACTCCGCCACCACCGCCTATATTCACATTATCTGTATTTCTTCAAACAGCCTTTGTATGACTGCGGACCCCGTTCTGAAATTTTATTGTTCATTTCTATATTAAATAAACAAAAAATGAAGCAGAAATATTCATTAAAAAGTTTGGATTCGAGTAGAGCTAAAAGCAGTATGAAAACACCGGTTGTTTTAAGTTCTACTGATTGTGAATGCAACTCTGGGCGAAAAGCAGTTATCGAAAATTAATGACCCTATTGTTACATTTTTTCTGTGGTAATAACTTTTATTTTCTTGTGAAATTTAACAGTCGAACTTACGATGGCGTATACTGTTTCACCTGCTCTCTATTATGTCTTTCCCGTTCTCATTCTACTTCTCTGTCGAAACTTACCATTATCATTATTCTTGCGTTTTTACCATGCTTGTCCTCACACTGGTCTGAAATATACATAACTTGAATACGATGCAATATCAAATAAACCTTCTGCCTTATATACGGCTTGTCGTTCATTGACAATATTGGTGATGGAGGCTGCGTACAAAAGGAGCACTGAGAATATGTACTGCTCCGCTTGTGTGGCAAGTGAAATGTTTCGTATTCAACGCGCCTTGGACAGGGAAAAGTTAGTTTAGGGGACTATTCCGTTTAAAATCCTCAAAACAATGCACCGCGGCAATGCTATGTCCTTTTCACCTATGTAATTCTTCTGATCCAATTCAAGGAAAATGTTTTACAACGGTGATGGGCATTTGGTCTCGTGAGTGTACTATGATAC